TTCATTTTCCCACTAATAACAATAAAATCTATATGTACAGACGTCTGTGATGAAAGTACCCTTCACCTCCTTCATAACCTTCATAGCCGTTGTGATTCTTTTCCAGTGACACCTACATGAGAAATGTTGAAACAAATCATGCAATAGCCTTTCTTACTCAGCACAAGGTGCTCATTTTCTGTATTTTAAACTGATTAACATTTTCAGTGACAATATTCTCTTTGCTTGATCCTCAGTCTAACATTCAATTTTGGGTTGTTCTCCCCTTTTCATAGATGCAAGAACGTCAAAGCCAGTGGACCCTTAGAGATCAAGCAGTCCAACCTCCTCACCTAACAAATAAGGAAATGGGGATTCAGAAAACTCAGATCACTTCCCCAGAGCCTTGTAGCTAGTAATGACTCAGAAGATCACTCTCAAGATCTAGATTGTGGCCCGGATCCACACACAACTTGCCTGAATCAAGGGGAAGATAATAACTGTAGAAAAAAAATCCACAAATGGTATCCCTATAATCTTTACATAACAGACCGGTGACCTTGAGTGTATTTTGAGACAGCTGAGATAAAGAGCTCTATTACCTTAATACAATGGTACCTCCGTTTTCGAATGTCTCCGTTGATGAAAATTTTGGTTTACAAATGCCGTAAACCCAGAAGTAAATGCTTCGGTTTTCGAACATGCCTCGGAAGTCGAACATGCCACACAGCTTCTGCTGAGTGCAAGATCCTGAGGCTCACCTGTCGATCCCTCGGTTTTTGAACATTTCAGAACTTGAATGGTCTTCTGGAATGGATTACATTCGAAAACCGAGGTACCACTGTAACTTAATTTCAGAAAGTCTCACTTCTACCCCAATCAGACATTCATGTGAAAGGATATTTTTCAATAATTAACTTAAATACCTTATTCCTGTAATTATTTTATAAGTGACAGCATAGGTTACACCTACATGTAGTCATTGAAACAAACCAAAGCATAAGCAAAACATTCCACTCCCCAAATGTTAATTGGCTCAGAGCACTGCAAAACTGAACTGGTTTCAGTGGATCCAGTTGTAAGTACAGTCAAACCTTGGTTCTCGAATGTCTCCCATCTCGAACAATTCGCTTCTCAACCTGACAACCCTTTCATGTTGATACCTGTATGATCAGTCATGAGTCTCTCAGGCAAGAAATAAAGAAAAGAATGCATGAATATGAGTCAGCGTACCACTAAACGTCACGTTGTTAACATCTCAGGAAGTTGTGCTGTGAATATTTTTGTGGGGTTTTTTTTGCTTCTGTTGCTGCTTATTATTGTTAAATTATCATTTTTTACTTTACATTTCATTTCCTTTTTATTAAATTTTCATTTACATTTCATGTCCTTTTGTTTTTAAAGTGTTTATTTATAGATTAAACAATACATTAGACATGTACTGAATATAAGAAATGTTAAAACAAGGAATCATTTGGCGGTCTGGAATGGATTGATTCAATTTACATTATTTCTAATGGGAAAAAATGATTTGGCTTTCAAACAGCCTTCCAGAATGAATTAAGTTCAAGAACTGAGGTTCCACTTATAGCTGGTGTTTCCTGGTTCAGCTATTTTATATAAAGTCCTAACCACAGTTATAGTTTGCAGGTGGATTTGGTATTAAGATTTACAAATAATATAATAGCAGCCAAGATGTCTGTAGAGTCAGTAGATTATAAAGCACAATAACACATGGAGGTATTCTCCAAAGTTAATGTTTACATATCAAATATTCTCTTATTGGAAAGTTCATGTTTAGGTTGGAAGTACATATTAGTGTTTACAAGTAAAGATGCTACTGAGGGAGCCTTCAATTCAAGATGAATGCATTTCTAATGGCAATGGCTTGATGAGTTGAACCAAGCCTCATTTGCCCTCCTCACACTCTACTGGCAACACTAGTTAACAGGGTCCTCACCAAGAACTAAAGAAAAATAAGAATCCCACTAGAATGGAGGAATAGTTTATATGGAAACCAGTGGCAATCATGGCAGAAATACCAGGAGCTTAACTACATGGTAGAGAAGCTAAGTAGGAGAGATGAGAATAGGAGCAGTGGAAATAAGGGAACAAGGGCAGGAATTTGAACTGGAGACTATCAGAAGAAAAGGATTTGAGCTAGTGTGATTATTTCTAAAATAAATTGGTCAATGTAATTTCTTTCCTTAAAGTCAATAGTTCTGTAATGTCCTCAATATAGAATCCATACTCTAGCATGGCACACAGTCCCTTTATGATTTGGCTCCTGACTTTCTACTTCTCCACAATCACCTATCAACACTTTTGCCCACATACTTTACACTTGAGTTCAGTGATTTTCAAACTATTATTAAAGTGGAATATTCTATTCCCTAGTTCTAATAAAATCTTAATTGGTATCCCAATATGAAAAAGATTGAAAAGAAAACTGCCTTCATTGGCTCCTGAGACACCTCTTCATAATGTCTAGAACTCTGCAGTACACAGCTGGAAAACCACCATAGTAGGACCAAACTAAGCTAATTGCAGTTTACCAAATATGCCATGTTTTTTTTTTTTCATTTCTATACCTTTACATATGATGTTTTCCTGTAACTGGAAAGCCTTCTCCACCTTTCTGCTTTGCTTACTCCTTCTCAGCCTCTGGGACTCAACTCAAACACTATCTCCTCTAGGATGCCTTCCCTGCCCTTCTTAGCTGCCATGCTTACCATAGGCATACCTCTATCAAAGTATTTATGCTATGCTTCTTTCTCCCTCCCATCACTTTCCCTCCCCTCCCCTTCCTCTACTCTTCCCTTCTGTTTCCTTTTCTTCCTTTTAAGGAGTAAAAATTCTTTCTCAAGTAGATAGCACATTTCTGGCATATAAGAGCTAAGTAAGTACTTAGTGAATAAATGAAATACTACAAAGAAGTAGGAGAAGAAGAAGGGGACTAAAAAAGGCCATTGAATTCCAGTGGGTGTGGCTCAGATGGTTGAGCATCAGCCCATGCACCAGGAGGTGGCTGGTTCAATTCCCTGTCAGGGCAAATGCCTGGGTTTTGGTCCCTAGTAGGGAGCATGCAAGAGGCAATTGATAGATGTTTCTCTATCATAGATGTTTACTGCTCTCTCTCTTCTTCCTCTCTCTGAAATCAATAAAAACATATGTTGGGTTTTTATTTTTCCAAAAAAAAGGGCATTGAATTTGACAATAAGGAAGTAATAAAAAACTTTTGCTAGTAAAATTTAGTAGGATGGTAGGAAATGAAGTTGGAGTTAAAAAATGAATGGGCAAATAGAAACACCTATGAGGTTTTAACTGTATCTGGAATCTATTAGAGATTTTGTTCCTATTTTAAAAATATTCACATTTGCCCCTATATTCCCATGGGGATTTCTCAATTCACTTTGAAAATCCTTTGAACAATGAGTGTATATATATACACTAATATATATATATATATATATATATATATA